CGTTATTTTTCGACGGGGTACCAAATAAAAACTTTATTTACCGTCCGATCGGGCTGAAACTTACACAAAACATGTGCCGCCACACAAGGATGCGTCACAATCAACAAAATCGCCGATCGAGGTCAAAGGTCAAGGTCATATTTGCGAAAAACCGTTATTTTTCGACGGGGTACCAAATAAAAACTTTATTTACCGTCCGATCGGGCTGAAACTTACACAAAACATGTGCCGCCACACAAGGATGCGTCACAATCAACAAAATCGCCGATCGAGGTCAAAGGTCAAGGTCATATTTGCGAAAAACCGTTATTTTTCGACGGGGTACCAAATAAAAACTTTATTTACCGTCCGATCGGGCTGAAACTTACACAAAACATGTGCCGCCACACAAGGATGCGTCACAATCAACAAAATCGCCGATCGAGGTCAAAGGTCAAGGTCATATTTGCGAAAAACCGTTATTTTTCGACGGGGTACCAAATAAAAACTTTATTTACCGTCCGATCGGGCTGAAACTTACACAAAACATGTGCCGCCACACAAGGATGCGTCACAATCAACAAAATCGCCGATCGAGGTCAAAGGTCAAGGTCATATTTGCGAAAAACCGTTATTTTTCGACGGGGTACCAAATAAAAACTTTATTTACCGTCCGATCGGGCTGAAACTTACACAAAACATGTGCCGCCACACAAGGATGCGTCACAATCAACAAAATCGCCGATCGAGGTCAAAGGTCAAGGTCATATTTGCGAAAAACCGTTATTTTTCGACGGGGTACCAAATAAAAACTTTATTTACCGTCCGATCGGGCTGAAACTTACACAAAACATGTGCCGCCACACAAGGATGCGTCACAATCAACAAAATCGCCGATCGAGGTCAAAGGTCAAGGTCATATTTGCGAAAAACCGTTATTTTTCGACGGGGTACCAAATAAAAACTTTATTTACCGTCCGATCGGGCTGAAACTTACACAAAACATGTGCCGCCACACAAGGATGCGTCACAATCAACAAAATCGCCGAACGAGGTCAAAGGTCAAGGTCATATTTGCGAAAAACCGTTATTTTTCGACGGGGTACCAAATAAAAACTTTATTTACCGTCCGATCGGTTCCTTTGACCTTTGACCTCGATCAGCGATTTTGTTGATTGTGACGAATCCTTGTGTGGCGGCACATGTTTTGTGTAAGTTTCAGCCCGATCGGACGGTAAATAAAGTTTTTATTTGGTACCCCGTCGAAAAATAACGGTTTTTCGCAAATATGACCTTGACCTTTGACCTCGATCGGCGATTTTGTTGATTGTGACGCATCCTTGTGTGGCGGCACATGTTTTGTGTAAGTTTCAGCCCGATCGGACGGTAAATAAAGTTTTTATTTGGTACCCCGTCGAAAAATAACGGTTTTTCGCAAATATGACCTTGACCTTTGACCTCGATCGGCGATTTTGTTGATTGTGACGCATCCTTGTGTGGCGGCACATGTTTTGTGTAAGTTTCAGCCCGATCGGACGGTAAATAAAGTTTTTATTTGGTACCCCGTCGAAAAATAACGGTTTTTCGCAAATATGACCTTGACCTTTGACCTCGATCGGCGATTTTGTTGATTGTGACGCATCCTTGTGTGGCGGCACATGTTTTGTGTAAGTTTCAGCCCGATCGGACGGTAAATAAAGTTTTTATTTGGTACCCCGTCGAAAAATAACGGTTTTTCGCAAATATGACCTTGACCTTTGACCTCGATCGGCGATTTTGTTGATTGTGACGCATCCTTGTGTGGCGGCACATGTTTTGTGTAAGTTTCAGCCCGATCAGACGGTAAATAAAGTTTTTATTTGGTACCCCGTCGAAAAATAACGGTTTTTCGCAAATATGACCTTGACCTTTGACCTCGATCGGCGATTTTGTTGATTGTGACGCATCCTTGTGTGGCGGCACATGTTATGTGTAAGTTTCAGCCCGATCGGACGGTAAATAAAGTTTTTATTTGGTACCCCGTCGAAAAATAACGGTTTTTCGCAAATATGACCTTGACCTTTGACCTCGATCGGCGATTTTGTTGATTGTGACGCATCCTTGTGTGGCGGCACATGTTTTGTGTAAGTTTCAGCCCGATCGGACGGTAAATAAAGTTTTTATTTGGTACCCCGTCGAAAAATAACGGTTTTTCGCAAATATGACCTTGACCTTTGACCTCGATCGGCGATTTTGTTGATTGTGACGCATCCTTGTGTGGCGGCACATGTTTTGTGTAAGTTTCAGCCCGATCGGACGGTAAATAAAGTTTTTATTTGGTACCCCGTCGAAAAATAACGGTTTTTCGCAAATATGACCTTGACCTTTGACCTCGATCGGCGATTTTGTTGATTGTGACGCATCCTTGTGTGGCGGCACATGTTTTGTGTAAGTTTCAGCCCGATCGGACGGTAAATAAAGTTTTTATTTGGTACCCCGTCGAAAAATAACGGTTTTTCGCAAATATGACCTTGACCTTTGACCTCGATTGGCGATTTTGTTGATTGTGACGCATCCTTGTGTGGCGGCACATGTTTTGTGTAAGTTTCAGCCCGATCGGACGGTAAATAAAGTTTTTATTTGGTACCCCGTCGAAAAATAACGGTTTTTCGCAAATATGACCTTGACCTTTGACCTCGATTGGCGATTTTGTTGATTGTGACGCATCCTTGTGTGGCGGCACATGTTTTGTGTAAGTTTCAGCCCGATCGGACGGTAAATAAAGTTTTTATTTGGTACCCCGTTAAAAAATAACGGTTTTTCGCAAATATGACCTTGACCTTTGACCTCGATCGGCGATTTTGTTGATTGTGACGCATCCTTGTGTGGCGGCACATGTTTTGTGTAAGTTTCAGCCCGATCGGACGGTAAATAAAGTTTTTATTTGGTACCCCGTCGAAAAATAACGGTTTTTCGCAAATATGACCTTGACCTTTGACCTCGATCGGCGATTTTGTTGATTGTGACGCATCCTTGTGTGGCGGCACATGTTTTGTGTAAGTTTCAGCCCGATCGGACGGTAAATAAAGTTTTTATTTGGTACCCCGTCGAAAAATAACGGTTTTTCGCAAATATGACCTTGACCTTTGACCTCGATCGGCGATTTTGTTGATTGTGACGCATCCTTGTGTGGCGGCACATGTTTTGTGTAAGTTTCAGCCCGATCGGACGGTAAATAAAGTTTTATTTGGTACCCCGTCGAAAAATAACGGTTTTTCGCAAATATGACCTTGACCTTTGACCTCGATCGGCGATTTTGTTGATTGTGACGCATCCTTGTGTGGCGGCACATGTTTTGTGTAAGTTTCAGCCCGATCGGACGGTAAATAAAGTTTTTATTTGGTACCCCGTCGAAAAATAACGGTTTTTCGCAAATATGACCTTGACCTTTGACCTCGATCGGCGATTTTGTTGATTGTGACGCATCCTTGTGTGGCGGCACATGTTTTGTGTAAGTTTCAGCCCGATCGGACGGTAAATAAAGTTTTTATTTGGTACCCCGTCGAAAAATAACGGTTTTTCGCAAATATGACCTTGACCTTTGACCTCGATCGGCGATTTTGTTGATTGTGACGCATCCTTGTGTGGCGGCACATGTTTTGTGTAAGTTTCAGCCCGATCGGACGGTAAATAAAGTTTTTATTTGGTACCCCGTCGAAAAATAACGGTTTTTCGCAAATATGACCTTGACCTTTGAACTTGATCGGCGATTTTGTTGATTGTGACGCATCCTTGTGTGGCGGCACATGTTTTGTGTAAGTTTCAGCCCGATCGGACGGTAAATAAAGTTTTTATTTGGTACCCCGTCGAAAAATAACGGTTTTTCGCAAATATGACCTTGACCTTTGACCTCGATCGGCGATTTTGTTGATTGTGACGCATCCTTGTGTGGCGGCACATGTTTTGTGTAAGTTTCAGCCCGATCGGACGGTAAATAAAGAAGTACCTTATTGTTGTTTATAGCCAGAGAGGTTTTTTGCCCCTAGAGGTCAAAATATTTGACCTAGGAAAAAATGAGTGATATTTTTGGAATCAGCGTGTCAAGATCTATCGTTTGGCATAGTTTGGCGATGTTTTGAACTCGACGCTGAAAACGAATACGAATACGACGCTAACTTGATGGACATGAGAGCAATGGGGGTGTTGGTCAGCTTGCTGTCAGTCAATAATTAAATTGGAGTTTATTTATGTTATGGTTCGTACCTCATGTATCTCATAGGAAGCAGCGTTCCGTACGGCCGAACCAACGCATCAACACGACTATAATGTACAATGTTGTTATGTTGTGTGTATAAGATGCATAATTATGTGTGAAAAACTAGTAAACATCTACGATGCAGATCGTGTATTTAAAAGGCTGTAGATGTATATCCTATATCTAATGCAAATAACCCGCAGTCAAGTTCACACCACAGCAAATTCGTATGTCGCGATGCTTCAAAGAGTACCGGTCCAATGGTCGAGGTCGGTTCTTATCATACCTTCGTCACCCTGACACGATCATTATCAGACCAGTCTCATCGAACTTCCCGTGTTACTCATCTCTATATCTGTTCAAGAGCCCCGATATGGCCTGACGAGCGAGCCAATCGCCTTCAGCTGCGCCACACCTAACCGCCAGTGTGGGCATGATGAACGTATCTCTGACCTCAGCAAGGTCGGCCGGGGCCGGGCTTTGCTGACGAGACTGATTGACAACGGACCAGCGCAAACATTCAACCACTTCTTGATACGGAACACCTGCTATTGCCGAACACCTGCTATTGCCAAACACTTGCTACTGAGCACCGCCCAGCCAGAGGGTTCCGCTCGACAAAGTTGATGACGCTAGTACCCTGCACCTTGGTGAACAGCGATTCGGTCTTATGAAACATCTTCGCGACAGAATGGTGCAGATTAGATCCATCAAATCTTCACAAGTATAAATGAAAACACGCTGCAAACTGAGAATGTTATAATGTCTGTTCCCGGAACAAAAGAAATAACTGCAATAATGTATTGCTTCAACCAAACGAACAATCCATTCAATAGACCATCGCATCGGATCTTCAACGTTTCCGCATTCACAATTAAGTTAAGTACTAACTCGTTGCGGGTTTGGCCTACTACCACATGTACTAACGCCCCTTCATGACTTCACATTATGCAGAAATTTAACTCGAGTGCGCGTAGCTGTGCAGCGCACAGCAGAGTTTACAGATGGGCCACGATTGGCAGTGTTGGTATCAAAAATATTACCTCCTAATTTGCTCATGATACATCTAGTTTGGCCCCATACAAGAGATCAAATTTAGCGCCCATCACAAAGTCAGTTATGACGAGCTGACAACATCGCAGCAGGCGACTAATTTGTGAGGTATATGCATTATGCAGGCAAAAGCACTTGGTTAGGTAACAACTCTAGTTAAACCACATATGTATATCGCTAACACCCGTGAGTTGGCTAGGTTTTGAATGTGACTGGAGGCAACACATTCAGTCACCTGACACCACCGTTCACCGGCTGTTGGTTGGCGCGGAACGCATTGCCAAATACACATCAATGTCCACTGACATTCATCCCCCCCCCCCTGTCCGCATAGAGCCCCTAACAGAGTGCCGCACACCTCACCACGCCGAACCCTGTCCACTGACAACCCTCACCCCTCAGTCTGCATACAGCACCCAGCGCACTGCTGCACACCTCACCACACCAGTCACTGACATCCCTCTCCCGTCCGCATACAGCACCCAGTGCACTGCTGCACACCTCACCACACCAGTCACTGACATCCCTCTCCTGTCCGCATACAGCAGCGAGCGCACTGAGCTCTAGACACACTGCTACACAGCCCCCCCCCCCCCCGGTTCACACGCAGCACCAGCCACCAGGCATAGTGCTGGACATACCACTCACTGTCACCTACCTCTCTCGTCGGACGGTCGTTAGGCGTCCTCACAGAGTGTGGGCCCGCGCCCGCTGCAGCAGCGACCGTGGACGCCGCACACCCCGGCACGCCACTGAACACATTAGTGTCCGTTCAGCTGTTGCTGAGCTCAGTCCTGTCCTGGAACTGTTTGGTCACGGCCGCCTCCAGCGCCGACAGAAACTCGCACATGGTGGCCGACGGTGTGGTGATGAACAGCGCGTGCGCCAGGAACGGCAGCTTGCGCAGCGTGCGCCCGCTGAGGCCGCGGCTGGCCTGCGCGATCTGCCACAGGCGCAGGCTGCTCTGCGTGGCCGCGTTACCCACGTACTGCGTCAGCTCCAGGTTGTGCAGACTGAACAGCTTCTCGGCCGAGGAGATGATGCGCGTGCGGACCAGCTCCTCCACGCAGGAGCGGTAGATCTTGTAGATGGCCGCCGGCGAGGGCAGGTCGATGAACTGCTTGATGTCGGCGCGGTCGACGAAGGCCAGGTCGATGGCGCCCGTGATGTTGGACGTCGTCAGGATGAGCACGTTCGGGAAGCGTTTGATCTGGTCGATCTGTGTGAGCAGCGCGTTGACCACGCGGATGGCGTCGCTCGGCTCGGCGCTGGAGGAGGAGGCGCGGCGCGCCGCCGTCAAAGACTCCACCTCGTCAATCAGCACGCACACCAGCGCCTTCGGGTCGTCGATCAGCTCCTGGATCTTGGTGAACATCTTCTGCACCAGCTTCCCGCTCTCGGAGAACCACTTGGAGAACAGACTGTGACTGTTGATCTCGATCAGCTGACCGTACGCGTAGCGGTCCGACATTCGGATGGCCAGCTTCTGCGCCAGCGCCTTACACAGCGAGGTCTTGCCGGTGCCGGGCGGCCCGTGCAGCAGCACCACGCGGTTCCACGAGATCACGTTGCCGTTGACTCCCTTGTCGGAGAAGAGTAGCGTGGTGGACACGAAGTTGAGCAGCTGCTGTTTGATGTTGGTCTCGTAGATGAGCGAGTCCCAGAGTCCGTGGAAGTCTCGGCTGGGCAGGATCCACTGGGTGGCGGCCGGCATGTCTCCGGCCTCGTCCTCCACCTCCTCGACCTCCGGGCCGGACTCCTCCAGCCGGTGCGGGTGGCACACCAGCTGGCACTCGGACACCGTGTAGCAGCGGCTCTCCTGCGACCCTGTGCGGTCGAACACGGCCAACTCGGCCGCGCTGGCGCTCAGCTTCTCGCCCAGACTCATGTAGGTGGTACACGTGGTCACCGTGCGCAGCGACGTCAGAAACTCACGCGCGTGCTTGCAGATGCGCGCCCGGTCGGTGGCGCAGCCGAGCTTCAGCACAATCTCCACGTCCAGTATGGGCGGCGCCGGCGGCTGGGCGGGCGGGGGCGGGGGCGGGGCCGGGTGGGTGTCGGCGTCTCCGCCCGCGCGGCTGGGAGGCGCGTCCCCGGCCGGCCGAGCCCGCGGGCCCGCGGACGCGTCCCCGTTCATTTTACCGTTCACAGCAGGAGTGCTGTCCATGCAGTCCATTCTGGAAAACAAGGGCAAGGTAGACAGCTGTAGGCATTAAACTGTGCTTTGTTGGGTTTATAGAGACAAGAGGTGTATAGATCCGGGGGAAATCAAACAAACCAAGGGGACATAGAAAACAATGTTACCAAGACAAAGACACAATCAGTATAAAATTAAGCTAAAAATTTCATTAATTTACCAACTTCTTTCATTCGAGCAGCTTTTCTTAATTGAAGCGTTTTTAGCTAGTTGACTGAAGTGAACACTGAACAGTAATAGAACAATTCTAATCTAAAGGCATTTTTTCTCAATCATAATAATTAATACTAAGGAAAATACAAAAATGAACTCAACGCTAATGTCAACGATTCCAACAAAGCTTGAACCATTGACAAAACATAACGTCTTATGACGCCCTGATTAATATAATATTATATTATATTATATTAATTAGTATAAACCAGTATAACGCCTTTTGGGGCGACTAACGGAGCAAGCGAGAGGGTGAGCCTTGCACGTGCGAAATTTCGAGGCGGTACCTCCAACTGACTTGTGCACGGCACCCTACTAACCGGTCTCTAGCGATGTGCCAAATTTGAGCGCAATCGGCCCAGCCGTTCTCGAGATCTGGAAGCGACACCCTGCACGTGCGCACGTGCAAAATGGGTCCCAATCTGACTTGTGCACGGTACCCTACTAACTGGTCCCTAACCGTGTACCAAATTTGAGCGCCATCGGTCCAGCCGTTCTCGAGATCTGGAAACGACCCCTGCACGTGCGCACGTGCAGCAGCACCCCAACTCTGGCACATGGATATGCAGTGCCTAGTGGGTGCCTACCTACATGCCAACTTTCGGCACAATCGGTCAAGTAGTTACTGAGATATTGCAACAATTACAAAACGGACACCTCTTCGTTTTGCACGTGGCACGTGCAATGTGCATAAGGGGTCACCCACATGCATCGGGAATAGTCCAATACTTGGTAGAAGGAATGAAGCTACCCTACAAAAATTACCGCGTGTAAATCGGTCAAGTGGTTGCTGAGATATAGGCCTCGCAAAAGCGTCCGCTCATACTCAGAAATTTCCGTTAATCTAAGGAAAGACAACGCTCGCTTCGCTCGCTCCGTAATAAAATCTAATGTCAGCCCGCTATATGTATATAAGAAAACAATGACGTTACAGTTTCAATATTTGGCCGGTACCGTAGCTCAGTCGGTAGAGCGTTGGACTCCGGGTGGTGAGAGCACGTGTTCCCGGTTATAACAGTCCGGGTTCGAAGCGCGACGGGCGATTGACGTTTATGAGCCTCCTGACAGGTAGGTATGGTTGCGCCGGCTTGGTAGACTGGCAGGCCGTAGCCAGGCGAAGTTAGTGAGGGAACCAGCCCGGCCGTGCGCGGCTTTATACCTACATATGTACGTTAACCCGGTACGCATGGCTGCATGTACGCAATCTAAAAATGTGGCTAATTGCATCGATGGTCCCTGCAATACAAAAAAAAAAATTGCCAATGATCCCGGAAAATAATCCCTGATTATCCGCATGTCGAACGCTAGGCATGTAGCACATCTGGTAGCAAAATTCCAACTACTGCGGACTGCGGACTAGCGTGAAGGAAGATAGCGACGTATTCAGCGACGGATTCAGCGACGGATTTAGCGACGGATTCAGAATTCACTGAAAACTCGTTATCAGGTCAAGTAGGACACGCTGACACGCTGACTCGTTATCCGGTACCCCGTCGTTTGACCTCAAATTTGACCTTGAAGGTCAAAGGTCAAGGTCAAGGCCATGGTCACGGAGGCTGCCCATGGTGACGAGCTATCATGTATGAGCATTGAGCATTTTTGAACGTGTTGGGGCAATGACTGGGGATGTTATTGGGTACCCCGTCCTTTGACTTGGAGTTTGACCTCTAAGGTCAAACATTAGGGTCAAGCAGGGTTGGCAGGGGGTGGCAAAAACTGGTTTTTGCCAGTGGTTTTAACCGGTTTAAACCGGCTGGCAGAAACCCCGGTGGCAAAAACTGGCAAAAACTGGATAAAACTCAGGTGGGCCAAACCACAACTTTTCTAGTTAGGAATGGATCTGAAATGTACAAATGCATTTCTTGATGTTATAGAGATGCACCAAACATTCTGAAGTTTGCCTCATTACTTATCCCTGCTTAAAATGTCTATGCATGTCAGTAGGCATCCACCACAGAATGTATTTCCATGTAGGGGAGTGGGGCAAGGCTGCCACGGTAGGGTGCAGTGCGCATATCAGTGGCAGATACCCCTTCGCACTTCTGATTGTGCAGGACTCACTCTTGCACTGGCTCATTTGTCACCCCCAAAAGGCGCCTTATGGAAAGCCCATGAAAATGTTTTTGAGTTATAGAACACTTCAACGGTCAATGTCACTTCTGGTTGAAAGCATAAAGCTTTCACCGAATTCTCCTAAAAATGTTTCATCTTTAAATCCATGTCTAGGCATATCATTGTGCTGGTTTTTAGTTTTTGCCAGTTTTTGCCACTTTTTGCCGGTTAAAACCGGTTTAAACCGGCAAATGGCATAAACTAGTTTTTGCCGGCAAAAATGCCAACCCTGGGGTCAAGGTAAAAATAATAAAATTAAGCCCGAGCGGTCTTGCATTTACTGGAATGGTTGTTTGAGACGTGGCAGATCAACTTCTTCACATTTTGCCCTTCTTCTTCGTTGATAAATGATGCCTTTCTTTGTCCTTGTGTTTGACCTTGAAGGTCAAGGATTAGATCCAAGGTCAGGGTAGCGGAGGCTAGCCAACGAGGCTGGCCGTCGTTTAGGACCGTTTTTAGCCCGCACCTACCATAACTTCGGGACGTTATCCGATAGCCCGTCATTTGAACTCAAATTTGACATTGAAGGTCAAAGGTCAAGGTCATGGTCACGGAGGCTGCCCACGGTGACGAGCTATCACGTGTGACCACTTTCGGTCCTCTTGGGGCATTAATTCGGGACGTTATTGGGTAGGGGTACCCCGTCCTTTGACCTCAAATTTGACGTTGAAGATGAACTTAAATATGTGTTTTATGTCAATTTTTGGAATCAGCGTGTCCTGCTTGACCTGATAACGAGTTTTCAGCGAATTCTGAATCCGACGCTGAATCCGTCGCTGAATACGTCGCTATCTTCACGCACGTGGACTGCAGTGTTTTACATTTTGCACTACATGCAGAAGTGGTTTTATAGTTTGAGTTTATATCAATTCACTGACGCCACTGACCATTCAGTGTAAATAAATTAAATTGTGCTGCCATAAGTTATTATACGGCCTTGGCCAATGGCCATAATACGTTGTAAATAGTAAATCAATTAGCATGTTGATGTTTTGGGATGAATACCTAGGCCATGCATTAGGTACCTATTAAAGGGACCCTCCCACCTTCAAAAAAGTTAATGAATTGGCATGAAAGTGATGTCGCTCGGTTCAGAAAGAGCAAAAACGAATATCTACCAAATTTCATCGAAAAATATTCACCGGTTTTCAAGGCGTATTTGGAAATTCCGACCTCGACGAGCATCTGTGGTAGAAAACCACCCCTTTGGTAGGGGAAACTACTGCTGTCTGCTACCATTTGCACTACATGTGTCGCTATAGCTGCGACATCTATCTACTATTATAAATCTTAAAAAGTCCGCCGCCGTCGGGGTTACGCAGCCGGCGTTACTCCCAAAAACGGCTATTGCGGCGCCGTCGATTGACGCAGGAGGGTGAAATTTTCACGACTCGTGGGTCACGTAATTCAACAGGTCGTATTAAATTTTGGGCACGATGCGGCCAGGGGTGCACCCGTGGCGCGTGCTCATGTGCGCCATAGGGTTAGCATTAGAATCGCGACCGGCGCCGAGCAGAGGGCACGTGCTTTAGGCTCAGTTGTTCGCTTAAAAAACTGAGTGAAAAGCATCAGAGCCGGCAGGTCGTTGACCTTTGACAACGAAGGCCGACACAGGGCACCGCTCGCCAAGGGGATTCGCCAGTAAATACAATTAATTTGTTTTTGCACTATCTCAGCCGTTTCTGGGCCGATTTAGCTGAAACTTGGACTGTCGGTGGTAGTGTAGGGTAGGGTAGGGTAGGGTAGGGTAGGGTAGGGTAGGGTAGGGTAGGGTAGGGTAGTGTAAGGGTAGGGTAGGGTAGGGCAGGGTAAGGGTAGGGTAGGGTAGGGTAGGGTAGGGTAGGGTATGGTAGGGTATGATAGGGTAGGGTAGGGTAGTGTAGGGGTAGAGGTAGGGGTAGGGTAGGGTAGGGTAGGGGTAGGGGTAGGGTAGGGTAGGGTAGGGTATGGTAGGGTAGTGTAAGGGTAGGGTAGGGTAGTGTAAGGGTAGGGTAGGGTAGGGTAGGGTAGGGCAGTGTAGGGGTAGGGTAGGGTAGGGTAGGGTAGGGTAGGGTAGGTAAGGGTAATCTAGGGGTAGGGTTAGGGTGTAGAAGGTTAGGGTAGGGTAAGGGTAGGGTAGGGTAGGGTAGTGTAAGGGTATGGTAGGGTATGGTAGGGTAGGGTAGGGTAGGGTAGTGTAGGGGTAGGGTAGGGTAGGGGTAGGGTAGGGTAGGGTAGGGTTGAATTGAGTAAAATCCTAACTTACAAAGGACTCGAACAACTCGCATGCATCACCATCATACTTTACAGTTCAATTAAAAGCAGTTACCCAGTTCTACACAAAAAATACTAATAAAAATGCAAGTTTCTACACCCAAACTAATGCATCCGTTAATCATACATATAATAACATACAGTTATCGCGTAAACCTGTACCTCTAGTCTACTATTATAAATCTTAAAAAGTCCGCCGCCGTCGGGGTTACGCAGCCGGCGTTACTCCCAAAAACGGCTATTGCGGCGCCGTCGATTGACGCAGGAGGGTGAAATTTTCACGACTCGTGGGTCACGTAATTCAACAGGTCGTATTAAATTTTGGGCACGATGCGGCCAGGGGTGCACCCGTGGCGCGTGCTCATGTGCGCCATAGGGTTAGCATTAGAATCGCGACCGGCG